GAGGGAACTTTTTTTTTTTTTTTTAAAGATGACCGGTAAGGGGATCTTAACCCTTGACTTGGTGTTGTCAGCACCATGCTCACCCAGTGAGCAAACCGGCCATCCCTATATGGGATCCGAACCCGGGGCCTTGGTGTTATCAGCACCGCACTCTCCCTAGTGAGCCACGGGCCGGCCCCCCGAGGGAACTTTTTGTAAATAAAAAATATCAATCTCTTCTGTCTGTAATTTGTTTTAGAACTTCATTATGGTGTCTTCTGCCATATAGAAGTTTAACATTTTTGTGTAAATAATGCCAACTTTCCCACACCCCATAGTTTTAGGTTGTACTTAGGGAGGCCATTCTTACTTAAATGATGCAAAATATTCTCTGGGGGATTATTTTTGGTTTTTATTTTTGTTTTTGTTGGCTGGCCAGGAAGGGCATCTGAACCCTTGACCTTGGTGTTATCAGCACCACATTCTCCCAGGTGAGCTAACTGGCCAGCCCCCTCTTTAATATTTTTTCTTGGATTTTCAAGGCTTAAGTTTCTATCTGTAATTCATTTAGGATTTATTTTTGGTATAATATAAGGCAAGGACCTGATTGTTTTTCCTCTGTGGAGCGGGGGGTAAGTCACAATACCATTTATTGAACAATCTGTCCTTTTCTCATGGAAGCAGGATTACCACATACACACATACATAAAACCCTTTTTTTTTTTTAGAAAGCCAGTTTGGTCATTAAATTCTGTAAATCAAATTGGAACCTTACTCAGACCTTGTCTCTACTATCATAATATCACAGTGTAGTAAGACCCCTGAACTTTCAGTGTTAAAGAGTATATATAAATAAATTTTTGACTTAAAAGGTTGATATATTGTATCTTGTTTGGTACTTGCTCTGGTTTGAATTGCATTGCCAGTTTTGTTTTGTTTTGTTTTTTAATGAACTATTCTGACACCAGTAGCAATTTTTAAAGTCAGCTTTATTTTGCTTTGTCAGCCTGTAGACTTTTCTCGGTTGCCTTTTCCTGTAGTTTAAACATTTGAGAAGTCAGGTACACTCACTTTGAAAACATTACAGGGTAGCTTCTAAAATCAGGTGTTTTGTGTTATCATTGCACTTTGGTTGTAGGCACCGTTGACTAAGACTTTACTAAGTAACACCCTACAGTCAGGTAGGCATTCTGGAAATGCTGCAGAGTACATCTCTAGTGGCAAGCCACCTTATTGAAAATGAGTAAAATATGGACATGGAAAACTCAACAAGTGGGATTTGAAAGAGGGGCTAAAATTTTTAACTTTCTATTTCTTAAAGGTTAAGTGTTCTTTTTTTAAAAATTGCTGACAGTAATTTGTTTCACTTAAATTTAGTAGCTTGTCCTCTGTCTCTCAGACATTTTTCTTTCTCAAGCTGTGCATTTGGTTTGTTTCCCGTTTGGTTTAGGCTCCCCCCACCCACTATTGCTCCTCTTCCTTGTGCCTGTAGGAGCATTTCCAGCCCATTCCTGGCCTTCTCAGTCCCCCTCCTCTAGGATGCTGGCTAGGACGGCGACTTAGACTCCTGTTTGTGATGAACCTTTTTTATTCCATTCTACAGCTTTGACAACTATTCTGCCAATGTTATGGTAGATGGAAAACCAGTGAATCTGGGCTTATGGGATACGGCTGGACAAGAAGATTATGACAGATTACGCCCCCTATCCTATCCACAAACAGTAAGGATTGCAGCTGATTTTTAATGTATCTTTTAGAATATACAATTCTTATATGTTTAGTTTATTCATACCACCTATGGATTTGCTTATACTGCAGTCATTTAGGTATATCAAGAAATAGCAAATAAGGTTAAATTACTTCAGTAGTTAATATCCCTGTAGGGGCAAGCCAGGGCTTTTATTCTTTGAGCATTACCAGTTACTCCAGTGCTGTGCATTTTATATTTTTTCACTTAGTTTTAGGAGAACCATATGAGATGGGTACTGTTTTGTTTTTGCAAACCAGTTTTTAATAGCAGTTAGTTTGAAGATGATTTGCTTTGTGACAGTTTTATACCACAGAATCAAATTAAGTAGTTAAGATTAAGGTTTCTTTAAACCAAGTTAGTAACTAATCTATTGGTTTGATACTTTTCTTCTATAAAATGTATAATTTCTGTCTTTAGTACCTCAATCTTTTCAATGTGGATTGAGGTTTCAGTTTTGTTCACTGTGTCCAATCAGAAAAAAACTTTTAGGGCCGAGCCCGTGGTGCACTTGGGAGAGTGCGGCGCTGGGAGCGCAGCAGTGCTCCCGCCACGGGTTCGGATCCTATATAGGGATGACCGGTGCGCTCACAGCACTCACTGGCTGGGTGCGGTGCGGCCGGTCTCAAAAAGGACAATGAAATGAGTTATTTACCAAAGCTAATTAGAGCAGGAAGCTGGCAGAAACAGTAGGTACTTAGAAGACAATGTCATGGTTAGAAGCCACTTTTCTTTAAGCAGTTATCTTAATGTGTTTCATTTCCTTATCTTGTTGCATATTTGTTCCTCATTTTAAAAAGTGTATTTTAAAGCAGTTTTGAAGACAAACTGACTAACTGGTTGAAGGGAAACTTAAATATGCGTGAGAGCAACAGAGCAAATTCCTTGGGTTTAAATCCTGCTCTCCCACTTCTTAACTGTTGGACCTTGGGCAGGTTTTCTCATCTCCAGCCTTTACTTGTTTCCTTGTGAGGCTAGATGAGTTAATAGATAGATAGACATGTGCACTTAGAATAGTCCTGGCATGTCACAGACACTCCAGTGTTAGCTGCTGTTAGGATTCCTGCTCCTTCAGATTTGTATGTATTCATCAGTCTAGAGAGCTTCTAGTTCCAGTTTGTGCTCATATGAGTGGAAGTTGCTGTGAGTGCTCTTGGCAAGCCTGGGCTGGGTGGGGTGGTTGGGGTCAGTGTCGGAGACATCCTAGAGAAAGGCAGGCTTTGAGCCCTGATTGGTGGGTGGCCTTTGACTGATTTAACGATTACTTTGTTTTAGGAAGTAGTATGGGTGAAAATGACTAATTAGTTCCAGTTTACCAAGATCTTGTGCTTTTTTTTTTTTAAAGAACTTCCTGTTTAGTAGTGATAATTTTAAACTTTTGAATACAGCATTTTCTCTGTAACCATCATTGTCTTGTACATTTGTTTCCTGTTAGAAGTATTGCCAAATATAGTCTCTGTGCTGTAGATTTTTGGTAATTATCCTTTAGCTGAGTTCTAGTTCAGAGTGCTAAATAAAGATCAAAAATATAAAATGGGAGGTTTGAATTGGGTGGTTTCTCAGTTAATCTACAGCTAAATATTAACTGATTAAATATTAAAAATCAGCCCATAATCACCAAATGATTTAAATTTTTCAATATCTTAGGAAACTATTCTATACCAGTGGGTATTTAATAATTCCCAATTTTAAATGGATTTAAAAACATTGATTGGTAGAGGAGTCTCCAACCTGCTGGACACATCTAGAAGGGCATGGTGTCACTTTCGAGAAATGGGAGCCACCCTACTGTGACTCAGGAGGGAGAGGCCTTTTTTTTCAAAGGGAGTCACTCATAGAAGTCAAAGGTGATTTGGCAAAAGTCTGCCTTTGTGTGCTAAGGAACACTTAGATAAGTAAGGCGGACTTTCCTCACCTCAGATTGAATAATGCTGTAGTGTGTGAGGCCATAAATCAAAAGTGGGTATGTCCTCATGGGGCTAGAACTTAAACTTTTTATGTCTCATCTGTGTAAGGTGGTGGGCTATTTTTCTATAAAATACTTGAATAGCAAGAAGGGAGTAAGACATGATTTTCTTTTTTTTAATTTTTATTGAATCATTGATTATACATATTTTGGGGATTCAGCATTGACATATTTTGATCAAATCAATATTACTAGCATATATATTGTTACAAATTGTACTTATTCTTTTTATGCCCCTTGTCCAATCTCTCTCCCTGCTCCTCCCCCTCACCTCTGATAACCCTAGATTTCTTTTCTCCTTCTGAAAGAGTAATGGTTACTCTGTTGATTTGTTGCCTAGATCATCTGTCCAGTGCTGAGAGATATGTTCAATATTATCCTAGAGCAGATGCTTCTTCTGTCACTCTGGAATGGGCTTTGTGCAGAGAGACATACTCTTCTTTTCTTTGGTCTCTGCTGGTGTAAGACACGATTCTTGCCCTCAAGTAGCTCACAGAAAAGTCCCATAAACTGACAGCTGTGTAGTATACCACATACCAGCATGGAGAGGAGGGGGTGCTTAGGGAGCTGGTGGGGAGAGCAGTTAAAGACACGCCTGCTCAGATGGCTGCTTTGGAGATAAGTTATCTTGGCATCTGAAGGGCAGGCCCTGAATACTCAAATACTCTAGTGCCTGGAAGGTCTCATTCTTTTGAGTCACACTGTCCAACTAAGAGGAATGGGCTCTGGGAGTTACAGGCTGGCATCATGCTCTTTTGTTGACAAAGGGGAGAACTTTAAACTTTATCCTAAATGGAACATGGTCTCTGGTTATTGGCTCTGTGGTCTGCAGGCCTGTTTGTGTGGCTCATCCACGACTCTGCTCAGACCCACTCCTGAAGGACCAGTTGGAAGGTTGCTTATCTAGGGCATCCTAAAAAGAAATGTTGCATTTCCTGTGGTTAATTAATGCTGGCATCCTTCTCTGTTGGGTAGCTCTGTGTAGCTAAGTTAAATCTGTTTAAACCATTAATTCTACTTAGTTCTCCAAAAGATGATGAGCTAGTAGTCATCATTTTCAGTTGAAATTGCCCTTCGTGGGCCGGCCCAGTGGCTCACTTGGGAGAGTGCGGTGCTGATAACACCAAGGCCACAGGTTCGGATCCTATATAGGGATGGCCGGTTCGCTCACTGGCTGGGCGTGGTGCTGACAACACCAAGTCAAGGGTTAAGATCCCCTTACCGGTCATCTTTAAAAAAAAAAAAAGAAATTGCCCTTCGAATTCTTATATTTCCAACTTAAGTAATCCTTAGGGCTTTTCTATCCTTTTATACATTATGTTTATTTTCTCTTAAAAATACTCTGTAAGTTCTGTATACTCATCTTCAGTTGGCATGATCAGAATCAAGGTATGCTCAGTGTACTGCTCAAGGCCAGCACCTTAAATTTTGCAGGTCACTGTATTGGCCTGCTTGTACCAGGATTTAGTGGTGTGAGTGAGAACATGATTGACATGCCAGTGTTGTAACAAGCCCTGAGCCCTATGTGTTCTAGACCCAGGCCATGCAAGCCGTTTGCTGAGATTCTGGGCCTCTGTTCTGTCAGCCAGGAGCCCAGTGTGTCGGGCCATTGTTTTCACTTTCTATGTGTGCTCTTATTTGGGAAAGGTTTCAGAATACAGGGCTTAGACTGCTGAGACATAAGATAAAAAGAAAAACCACACTTTAGCTTAGCAATTTTGAGTTTAAAAAGCCTCAGCCTTTGTTAGGTTGGCTGTTACAATTGTCAGTGTCCTTCAGCCAGAGGTCACTAGAAACACACCTGTAGTTAAATACAATTGGGTTTGTTACCTTATTCTTTGCTTCAAGGGAGACACACTTGGGGACTGCAGAATCTTATCTAGAAGGTGGGGAATGAAGCAAGGCTGCAGCTGTGATTGTGAAGAAGTCGTCATTCTTATATTGGTTGTGAGGGGGATGTATGGTGATTTTATAGTGTGCATAGTGACTTCGGATTTGTCTGCGCTTAGACAAGATGATGAAGTGGTCTTACATTTACTTTTGGTCTCATTTCAGCATGGTCACACTGTAACCTTGTCTTATGTTGGTGTCTGGGAGATTGTTCTAGTCAGTAGGAATACCTTTGCCGTTGAGAAGCTGTGAGCACCAGGCCAGTTCCCAGAAGGCAGGGGCTTCTTTTCTCTTTTTCCTAAGGTTGTCTTTCTTAGTTCTACACTGATGACAGGTGTCCAGCTTCTTTTTAGTTCTGCCTTTTCTCTGCCATGTTTATATATCCTGGTCCTTTTCCCTGTGTTTAAAAAATCCCAAGCCCAAAGGTAAAATCCAGGTGGAAAGCATTTGGAAGAGAATAAAATGAAAGAAAAACAGTATGGCTTTTGGGGTAGTGAGATGTGAGCCATCCAGACGTCTGCCCGGTCTCATTCCACTAAAAGCAGACTTGACTTTGTGTAGATTGTCCCACTGCCAGGTAGAGGAGGCAGCAGTCAGAACTGCTCTGGCTGTACTTATGACCTGTGATGAAGTGGTTTGTAATACGGGAGTAATCAAGTCATTGAAGACTTGCCAGGTTCATAAAGGGCATGGTGGGGGTCTGGTGCAGTCAGAAATGTCCTGAGAATCTAAAGAAAGCAGTGTTCAAGTCCACAGGAAAGATGGGCCAGTGACCAGAGACAGCCTGAGGCTCTAACATGCGCAAATGACCTGTGAGGAAGGAAAGTGAGAGACCCTTAGGTAGACACAGGTAGTGCTCTCTGAGGTGCTCTAAGTGTTACAAGGACAAGGTAAAACTAGAGACTCAACCAGTTGCGGCCGGCTAGCCTCCATGGAGGAAAGCAAAGGTGAGAAGGAGTTGATGCTGGGAAGTAAGTAGCAGAAGCGCTAGGTGTGTTTTCTGAAAGCCTTGTTTAGGCTGGGGAAGAAAAGGGAACAAGGAAGGGAGCAGGCAGATGGCGTGATGCCACCATGGGATGGAAAGTGGAACTGCTTGGCTCTTGTGCACTGTTTCTTCTCCATCAAACAAGATGTTCTTAAAAGTTGAAAAGGGTGCCAAAGATGTGGTCAGAGGATGGTTTTTTTTTTTTTTTTTTTTTTGTCTTTTGTCTTTTTTTTCCGTGTCCGGCAACGGATCGCAACCCTCAGTGTTGCCCCCGTACCGGACCAGGGACCGGCAACGGGATTGCAAACCTCGGTGTTGCTCCCGCGCCTCGCTCAGCCAGTGAGCGGGAACCGGTCTGTATGTGGGATCCGAACCCTCGGGCGGGAGCGCTGCTGCGCTTCCCAAGCGGCGCCCTATTCAGTGCGCCACCGGGCCGGCCCAGTGAGGATGTTTTGAAGCTGCATTCTTGTCACTGATCCCCAATGAGTCTCTATCGCAATAAAGATTTGGCACCATATCAACTCCTTGGGAGGACAAATCTTCAAGAATAGCCCATAGATTAAAAAAGGATAGTTATGAAAATTAGTATTCTCTTTGAATTGTAAATCAGAGAAGCTTGAGTGAGAGGAAATTAAAATAATTCTTTCATCTTCCTTTTCTTAAAAGAATTCCAGGGGGAGAGCGTGGTGCTGACACCACCAAGTCAAGGGTTAAGATCCCCTTACCGGTCATCTTTAAAAAAAAAAATTTCAGGGTTCTGCATGGAAGAGCAAGTCTGTCAATTTTTATTGGAACCAAGAAAAGAATTGAAAGTGTTGTGATAAACACTGGAAATGTTGTCACTTCTAAAACTTGTCACTATGGGTTGGCCTCATCCCAGCAAAGGGGTCAGGAATTGAAGATCTTAGTGCAAACAACGCTGTTTATTTTAGTGTTGCAAGTCCATAAATTCAAACCACACTCCCAGAACTAGGGGAAGACAGGAACAAAATTTCTGCAGAGACTTTTAATGTTCAGGCAGCATTAAAACTGTCAGCTCTCAGACATGGCCCTGTTCTGGGAGAGCCCTTTGTCTGGTAGGGATGTTGTACAGACAGGTGCCTTTCCTGTTTGCTGTGGCTTCAATGGGGCTTGTGTCTGAGAATGTGGACAGAGCTCTTTGAAAGATGTGCCATTGCTAATGGATGCCAGTGACTGTGCCTTTATGTTGAGGGACACTTGCAACACTTTCAGTTTTGTGGGCATGTTGTAAATACTGGAGTGTGCTGCTACAGCTGGAAGGAGCACCTTCGCTGCATCCCCAGTATGTGCCAGAATTCCGTCTTCACCGTCCTTGAATTACACAGGGATACCCGCTTTTGGCCAGGTTTCATGGAGTGTTTCAGTGGCGTTTGGCATCGAAGACATGTTAAATCATATGCTTTTTGGATCCTTCGGGAGGGTTGAGACAAAATTCTGATAAACAATCAATAACAGGTTATATTGATTTTTATTTTCCTCAGTTTGTACTAAACTCAAACAAAGTTCTCGTGCATTACTAGGTTGGAGAAACGTATGGTAAGGATATAACCTCCAGGGGGAAAGACAAGCCGATTGCCGTATGTAAAATTTTTAGTCGACTTCAGTTTCCAGCTTTATCTGTTCTTTCATTTCACTTAGTTTTCCTAGGATTTCTTATTGAGCCTCAAATTCCTTGAGTGTGTTACATTTAATTCACTCAAGGTTGGGGCTTTGCTTGATGAAATAAGCTTTCATTAGAGCGTGATGGTTTACCTACCAGCTTGAATTAAAGCAGTTCATCACTGCTTTCTTTTTTCCTTCCAAGTGAAGGGAGGCTGAGAGAGAGAGGGCCTCTCTCCTGGCTGATTGGAGACATAGCTGTGGAGAATCCACCTGTAAGCTCACCGTGGCTGTGTGCTGTGTCAGAGCAGGACTAACCTTGCTGCCAGGGTCTTCTTTCTCTGCTTTGGTGTCCGTGTCGTGGGGCTGACTGGGGCGTGGCTGTGCAGTGCTGGTGAGCTAATCCAACTGGGCTTTGAGATGGTTTGCAATCATCGGATGCTGGGATGCCGCGGTGATTCCTGGACAAGCTTATGCATGCGCCAGCATTTTTAAAATGTCATTTATAAAAAGCTGTTGTGTGGGATGTTTCTTTCCCCTTTAGGTACAAGGTACCAGCTGGATGGTTTAAAGCATTAGCTTGGGAATTGTGTGCCTTTATAAAGTAGCATAATTGCCTTTTTCCAGGAAAACGTTTTATAAACCTAGCATTTTAGAAATTCTTGGGCATTTTTTTTATACAGGTAAATGTTTGAATTTGACTTTATATACAATTCAGAATGGGAGGAAAAACTCAAGTATTTTACATTCAGCCAAAAATTCTTTCCGAGTATGTATTCTACATCTACTTTTCCTTTGCATCTGTACTTTAGCTGCAACTGCTCTGGGTGCAGTTCTCCAGAGGCCCTGCTTGTGTTTGAGAAACTGACAGTGTGAGGGTGGCTGTCAGCCATGAGGATGCCACTTACACACGAAACCACCCCTCCTGGCGGACTCAAGTAGCAAATACTTGAGCCCCTGCCCCTATTTTGTACCAGGGACTGTGACAAGCAGTTCCTAGTTAAGCAATTTAATTGGAACTCAGTGATAATCTAAACATGTTTGTACTTAACATGTAAAAGGGGAGCTTCGTGAAAAACATACCATTTATAGATAATGTTTTTAAAATGTACTGCTTGGGGGAAACAGACAAACTTTTACAGAATATTGGGATAGTACTTGGTTTTATCCATTTATAACAAATAGGTTCCCAGTCAAGAGTTAGGAGTGATAAAAAGAGGCCTCCTAAGGTCTGGTTTGATGCCTCCCTTGCCTCAGATAACTTCCAGCATATTCTGCCATTTCGCCCTTTTTCACAAGTAACTGGTTGCTTGATGTGCTGGTTCTTGTTTGGGAGCTGTCTGACAAACTGAAGGGGTGTATGCAGGGAGCAAGCTTTTGACATAAGCTGCTGGCACCTAGAAGACACACACCACATCTGAAGATTCATTCTCAGCAGCATTTAGAAAGCAAAGTACATTTGTCATTTTAAGATCCTTTTCTAAATGTTTCCTTATGTTTCCTTTTTATAGGATGTATTCTTAATTTGCTTTTCCCTTGTGAGTCCTGCATCATTTGAAAATGTCCGTGCAAAGGTAAGTGGGGATTTAAAATATATGTGTATAGTTACATGATGTCATTCTCAAGAAAAAATATTAAAAAATACCATTTACTGCTGGGAATTGGGGGGGGGGGAGCTGTTGTAATCAGAGGAATTTTTAATTACTTAAATTGGTTTTAGTAATTTTACTACTTAGATACATAATAAGTATTTAAGTATATAACTAATATGTAGAGTTCTAAAGCTTCAGGTTCTGATTCAGAAATAGCGTGTTCCTCATTAAAATTAATGAAGCATTTTGGAGTCAGTCTAATAAAAGAAATGGTTGTTTCTTTCTACTCCAGCATCGTTCACAAACTTCTTAGTGAAAATGATGAGTGAGGAAACCCGTCAGTTATAGAGATCTGGGATGTTTGCAGTGGGGATGATGGCGGAAGAGCTGAGACCCCCATCTGGGTAGCTTGTCTGTTCTCATCCCTGTGGAGATGATTTTTCTGAGATGACCCTAAGAACTTGGCTTGTTTTACCAAAAACAAAGTGATTTCCTTTTAGGGAGCTACCTTCCTTTCTTCCCTTTCCTGCTCCTTTCATTCCTCCCTGCTGTTACTTGACGGGTAGAGCCCTGTAGGGTCGTTAGTCTTGGGAGTCTGGCTTGCTCATCAGACACGCACGGATATTCCTTATGGTCCTTTAAGGTTTGAGTTAAAGGTGTGAACCGCACAAAGACCCTGTAGGGAAGGCAGTGGCCGAGGTTGGGTGGTTGACAGTTTGACTGCTGTTGGATGTAATTTAGATGAAAGAAGTTTATGCAGAGGGAGAGTGTTACAATCTTTGTTCCTTCTTCACATCTAGTGGTATCCTGAAGTGCGACACCATTGTCCCAACACTCCCATCATCCTAGTGGGAACAAAACTTGATCTTAGGGATGATAAAGACACCATTGAGAAACTGAAGGAGAAGAAGCTGACTCCCATCACCTACCCGCAGGGTTTAGCCATGGCTAAGGAGATCGGTATGAAATCCTGCATTTTTCGTGTCTGCTTTGCACATCTTTTATTTTAGTGACAGAGGCTGGAGTGCAATCTGGGAAAGTAGAGAGTGTGTTTCTCCTACTCAGGGTCTGGCTTGCTTTTGGGTAAGTGGGTAAGTGAGGCCCTTCCGGGTGTTAGGGCTAGCTTTCAGAAAACAGAGGCAGGGTTAGGAGGTGGCTCTGCCACACCAGCAGAAGATCCTACTCAGGGTCTGGCTTGCTTTTGGGTAAGTGGGTAAGTGAGGCCCTTCCGGGTGTTAGTGCTAGCTTTCAGAAAACAGAGGCAGGGTTAGGAGGTGGCTCTGCCACACCAGCAGAAGATGCTAGGTCCCAGGGGAGCTGCCTCTTGCCATTGTTCTGATCAGAAGAGATTCTGGTTGAGTGTACATTGCTGTGTGGCTCTTTCTTGTAGGTGCTGTAAAATACCTGGAGTGCTCAGCTCTCACACAGCGAGGCCTCAAGACAGTGTTTGATGAAGCTATTCGAGCAGTTCTCTGCCCACCTCCTGTCAAGAAGAGGAAGAGAAAATGCCTCCTCTTGTAAATGCTCAAGTCCCTCGTTCTTGGCCCTGACCCTTGGAACCTTTGTACGCTTTGCTCAAAAATGGTGGAGCCTTCGCACTCAATGCCAAGTTTTTGTTACAGATTAATTTTTCCATAAAACCTTTTTGAACCAATCAGTAATTTTAAAGTTTTGTTTGTTTTAAATGTAAGAGTTCAAACTCACATTCTATTAAAATTTAGCCCTAAAATGACAAGCCTTCTTAAAGCCTTATTTTTCCAAAGCCCCTATTCTTGCTCAGATTAAGAGTTGCCAAAATACCTTCTGAACTAAGTTGCATTGTTGTGCTAAGAACACTAAGCACTAAACTGTTTAAAGACCTTTGTTTTTAAGAAGACTATAGCTTCTGAAGTTAGGAGATGCAGACACTTTCTAAGTGGTTTTCAAATGTGTAAATCAGAACAGCCTCTTAATGAAATGTTGCCATTTAATGCATCAATAATTTATCAACCCAGGTTCATTACATAACATTGTACTGTATGTCATAATGGGATGAGTGGAACAATTCAACTCTGAATCAGTCTTTTTGATTTTGTAGTGAATTTTTTAAAAGAAAATTAGTTAACTAGCTTTTGCTGATACTTTGAACAGAACTCTTATTCATGTGTTTCCTCTAATGAAGTATTCTGCTCTTAGCTGTGGGTGTGCTGGGGTGGAGTGTGTGGAACACTTGATGTGATCAGAGGATGAAGACAGTATTTTGACAAAAGATGAAGTGGAGATGAATTTACACTACATTGTACATGGGATAATTAAACTGAATAAAAGTGTCACGGGTAAAAATTTTAAAAGGTTAATTTCTGTCAAACGCAGATGATGATGATGAATGGTCGGTATTATCAGTAAGTGTTTTCTTAAGCTTTTCCTTTTTCTTTTACCTGCCATCCCTGCCAAAATTGGGCATTTAATTCATCTTTGAAATGGTCATTCCCATAGTTGCTAACTTAGTAAGTGCTTTTCTTATAGAACCTCTTCTTAATGAGCAATATGCCTCCTTGTATTATAAAACCTTTCTTAATAATGCATTAGAAATTTTTTTTGTAGATTAGTAAAAGTGCATTCCTGTTTTCTTGTTACTTTATTCAAAGCTAATTAAGTGCTTTCCTTAGTTTTCTAGTAACTAGGTGTAAAAATCATGTGTTGCAGCTTTACAGTTTTTAAGATTTTAAATATTATTAAACTATGAACCTACTTAACATCACTGTCTTGCCAGATAACCAACACTGTCACTTGACTAATGCTGACCCTCTTTACCTCACCCACATGGACACATGCTTCCTGTCATTGCTTTGCCTAACAATGTTCCTTTGGGCCTGTGAGGTTCTGTAAACTGTGCTAGTGCTAACAATTGTTCTGTACAACGTAACTCACTGGCAAGAATACAAATGTTGGACCTTTCAACCACTACAACAAAATTTTTTAAATTGACAGTTGCAGAATTGTGGAGTGTTTTTACATTGATCTTTTGCTAATGCAATTAGCAGTATGTTTTGCATGTATGACTTAATAAATTCTTGAATCATATGACTCGTAATACTTGAATTTTTGAGAACTTGAGGAACAAGCTCCCAGTGTGTGTGTTTGCCTCAATTGAAAATCCTGGGCTGTTGGAGACATTCATTTTCAATGCATGTGTTCACACTGGAGGGACAAAGGGAGTGCCATCTCCAGAGGAGAATGTGGGCAAGTCCACAGTTGAACAATACATTGAGGAGTGGGGTGAGAGGTGACATCCAGGTTGGGACCTGTTGACTGGTGGTGAGATGCTCAAATGGAGATATCCAATGGGGGCATGTCCTTGCACACACATCTTAGGCCGGAGCTCAGGGCTGAAGATGAAGGCATTGGGAGCTGTCATAGACTACCCTGGCAGGGTGGATGTTGGATGGACTGTACGACCTTACAATCCATTCTGGAGCTTGAACTTGTACTATAAAAAGGTTCATATTAGAATCAGTTTGATAAATATTCCTTTTTTATTGCTTTAAGATTGTTTTATTTTTTACCAAAGATAAACATGCAGTTTAAAAAGATCAAACAGCTCTGAAGGTTTGTTATAGAAACAGCAGTCTTCCCCCTTCATACTCTCCAGAGGCAATACTTCGTTCATTTAGCTAGTTTTTGATACGTACCTCCACATGTCTAAATTACATGCTTTTCTTGCTGGTTGAATCTTTCTGGTTCAGCCATTGCCATTGCCATTTTCACCGTGGAAAGCGTGAGGCTTTTCTCCCTTTCCCAGCCACACCACCCCCACGGCCCTCAAGGCACCTCTCTCATCCCTTCAGTATGATGATCTTGGTGGGCTCTCTCAGTTTCGTGTCTCATAATTATTGCTATGTGAACTGTTCGTAACTGCCATGCAGTAACAGAACTTTGCCTTCCTGCACAATTTTTGGTTTCCTTTGGGTGGGCTAATGCTTTATTCTTGCTTAGTTTTCTGTGTACTTATTGGTAACTGCACTTCCATCTGTTTAAATCTCACAAAATGTTCAGATGTATTATGTATTTTATCAATTTTCATTTTCCTGAAGTTTCAGAATCATTTGACCTTCACTTACGTGTTGATCTTTTATTTCCTACCTCCCGACTCTTTTTTGATTTACTTCATCCTGATGCATGGCTAGCTTCTCCAAGAACTTCCTGGGAAATGGCATGTGGTATGTATTTTTAAGCTGTAACTATTCTATGATACTTTTGGCTGGATCTAAAATTCTAGGTTGGTAAGAACTTCCCTTTAGATTTTGAAGGAAGTTCTTCCATTGTCTTCCTTAGCCATTTCCATTGCATTGGGATGTCATTTTTTTAATGAAGCTTGTGAGATTTTCCTTTTGTCTTCCATGTCATAGGATTTCATTTTATTCATTGTGCTCTGCACTTGTGGCCTCTTTCCATCTGGAAACTCATGTCTTTCAATTTTCTGTTCTTTCTAGAAATGTTATTCAGATACTGGACCTGCTAGAATGGTCTCAACCATTTCCATTTCCCAGTTGGTCTTTTTCTTTCAGCTTATTTCACTTCTCATGCTTTTAATTTTCAGGGTTTTTTTTCCCCACTCTACATTTTCACTTTTTAGCCTCCTGGGTCACTTTTGTGATTGCTTGCAGCACTTTCTGTGTCTTAAGCCATAGCTAGGGTCGTTTGGAGCTTCTGCCTTGGTATGGTTTCAATGTCCCATCCAAAATTCACATAGAATTGTAATTGCCAATGTAATGGTATTGGGAGGTGGGACCCTTAAGAGGTGGTTAGGTCCTGAAGGCTCTGCCCTCATGAACGGATTAATGCTGTTACTGCGGAGTAGGTTAGTTATCTTGGGAATTCAGCCCTCTCTTTCTCTGTCTTGCATTCCTGCCTGCCCTTCTGCCATGTTGCAATGCAGTGAGAAGGCCCAGCAGATGCCTGTACCATGCTCTTGGACTTCCCAGCCTCCAGAACTGTGAGCTGAATAAACTTCTTTTCTTTGAAAATCACCCAGTCTAGTATTCTGTTACAGCAACAGAAAGTGGACATGATGTCTGCATCATCTTTGTTTCTTTTGGCCTCTTGTTCCTCAAGTGTCTGGCAATCCTTGGCTCATGCTTAAAGGTTGAGGTTGGAAACTGAGCACATGAGGTGGGTTATACTAGTGCAGCAAGTCAGACCTCTTGTCTTTCTACCTCTAGGTAAGTGCAGGAATTGAGTTTAGATATGAAACCAGTGGCGGTTGGGACACCACCATGGCATTTCAACTGGTTTTAAAGTGGCCCTGTGTGGGTTTTCAAAAGCTATAAGGTGGTGTGGCTGCAACTGCTGAGGAGAGGCCCTGAGAAGTGTCTCGAGGTTGGATTTCCCTGAAGATTATGTGAGCCAAGTGGGAGAAGTTGAGTGCTATCCTCCTTCCTCCACTGTGCTGGTGTCCAGTCCCACCTTCCACCCCACAGCAAGTGAAGGGCCAGGTTTCTTCCAGCTTCCGAGCAACCCTTTGGCTGTTCCTTGTCTGCTTCACTCCCAGTTTAATATGTGTGTGGGAACTCTGTCTTGCAAGTCATCTTAGTTCTCATCTTTCCTTCTCCTTTATGATTCTGATAACTGCTGGCCACAGACTGTTCTTACCTCCTCCTTCCCTGGGAGAAATCCCTTTACTCTCATTTTCTTGGGCTTCCAGTGGGGAGGTGAAATTTTATGTTTGTGCAATCTTCAATCTTTAGCCAGAACTCCAAGAAAACTTTTCATTTTTACTTTTTACAGTAGATCAAAAAAAAAAAAAGAACCAACCCGCTGCAATTGCTGTAAAACCACCCAGTATGATAAACCTACCTGGAAACATCCACCAGAAGAGCACATTACTATACAGATAGATACCATAATAACGTATAAACACTTTATTTTTTAACTCCATCTGAATCCACTGGCCAGCTAGAGCCAGAAGAGTACATGAGAATTAATCAACTCTTGCTGTTGACAAAAAACAGTGTAAACAAGGAACTGGAGTGCAGAGGCTCAGGAGGGCAGGAGTCATCTCCACTCACTTCCCCAACCTGGTTTTGTCTCCATTCCCAACTGGAGCTCAGGGCTGCCCTTGGTGCCACCCAGGAGAGCAGCCCAGCCTGCACCCTCACAGAGTATTGCATGCATAGCTAGGGAAACCATTTGAAAAATAAGCTGCACACCTGTTAGTCAAGTTCAGACTCAGCTCAACGGTGATAGGACAAGACCCTGTCAGTGAAAAGGGTTGGCTGAGCAGTGGTGTCCACAGAATGGTTATGTTCTTCAAAGCGGCTGTTGGATCCCGCCCTTGTGGGGCAGTTCTCAGATGGGCCTGCAGGCCAGGGAAACGGCTTCCCAAGGCGCTTTCCATATCCACTGTCTCTGGTGTCCCATCACCTGAACACTTGTCTCCTGACTCCTGATTCTGCTAATACTACGATCAGAATTATTTCCCATAAATGGTTCAGTCATTTAGAAGGCCATCGAATTTACTACTGATCAGATTCCTGTTGATGGACATACAATGTATGGCATCATGGACATCACTCGGACGTTAACTCAGTTGAAGAACAAAAGCACAGGTCCATCATTCCCAGGGCGGTTTCCAGTAGCCCTAGTTACACCACATCCACATTAGAGGCCCCTCGTGCTGGACAGGAGAGGCAGGCCACTCTGTCAGAGACCACCCTGTCCAAGGCTCTCATCAGGATGTCTGGCATGTGGTCTGTTAGCATCTTTGGGCCTATGAGTATTTTGCTGAACTGTGCTTCATGTGACCACTTTGCACTGTATTGAGCAGTAGAACAGTAGCCAAACCTTTAAAACGGAAAAGAAAAAAACACCAATTGGCCAAGTTTCACTTGTCTGGCCTCTAACACTTGAGTTTCTTTTACTGGTGGTGAGTGGGCTGAACCATGTGAGACCCACACCCCCATCTGCACTCACCTCCCTGAGGAGCCCTCTTCCTCCAGGTGGATGATCCTGCCGGGAGGGTACAGAGGGGGATACTTGTGGGGAGAGTCCAGAGGGGAGTCACTGGAGAAGCTGTACGCTGGAGAACAGTGTGTCAGCAGAGTCTGCTCCCCGAGAAGAGGCTGCGTCAGGTCTCCTTGGTTGGCCCCCTCCAGCTCCGTTGGAAAGTTACTGGGGTTCCCTCCAAACAGTTCGTACCAACATCCCTGCAGCAAGATCTTGTACTGAGGGTGAGACCCAAGAAGGCAGAATGTTACTCTGTGAGGCTGTCACCACAGAGACCTCGGTGGGATGGGAGCTGTGTTGGTGGCAGCCACACCCTCAAGGCTCAGGACACTCTCATGCCAAATCATAGGTCATGAGTGTGGGATGTATCTCCGGCAATGAAGCCATTACACTTGTAGCAATATTTAGAAACCAAAGCATGCAGAGTTTGAGGAAAAATTACCCTTCATTCTTTTCAGGCAATTCTGCAAATCAGTTTTACTCTGCCCTTAAATTAGACACGAATTTCTAAAAAGTTTTGGGGGGGTAATTGTTGATAAGGAAAAGAATTAAATAATTTTTTCTGATTAGCAACAAAAGCACACTAAAAAGCCAGAAAACACAGAGGTTAAAGAAGTGAAAATCATCTCTAATCCCATTATCAAATAAAACCATATATTGGTATATATTTTTTCCAAATTTTTATCTAGGCTCATGTCTATATCTGTATCTCCTTGTCCTCTCCCTCTGCCTCAGATCTTATCTCTAAGAATCACTTTTAAGCCTGCCTTTTTTTCTTTAACTTTTCAATCCATCATGGATATCAGTCTCTATTGGCAAATCGAAATTTCTATCATTTTTAATAACTGCATAATATCCATGGTATGGACATACCAGTACCTCTTAAAATCTGTATTTGGCAGACTTATTTTCTAAGCTTTGAGACAATATTACCAAAAGCATCAGAATTGCATCAGTCACAAGACAGGACTAAGAAGTCTGAAGTCCAAGGCAGTCCCAACCCCAACCTCCAGGGAGGGGAGGGAAACTGAAGGTTAAGTTGATCACCAGTGACCAGTGATTTAATCAAGCACGCCTAT